TGTTTATTATTAATATAGGCTACTCCAACTTTCTTTTGATTAATGTTTAAATGGTATATCTAAGCAAAAATGAACTATTGGGACTTCATCAAGATAAGAAGCTTTTGCACAGCAAAGGATACAGTCAACAAAACTCAAAGACAACCTACAGAATGGGAGAAGAGATTTGCAAATAACATATCAGATAAAGGGCTAGTTTCCAAAATCTATAAAGAACTTATTAAACTCAACAGCAAAGAAACAAACAATGCAATCATGAAATGGGCAAAGGACATGAAGAGAAATCTCACAGAGGAAGACATAGACATGGCCAACATGCACATGAGAAAATGCTCCGCATCACTGGCCATCAGGGAAAGACAAATCAAAACCACAATGAGATACCACCTCACACCAGTGAGAATGGGGAAAATTAACAAGGCAGGAAACCACAAATGTTGGAGAGGATGCGGAGAAAAGGGAACCCTCTTACACTGTTGGTGGGAATGTGAACTGGTGCAGCCACTCTGGAAAACTGTGTGGAGGTTCCTCAAAGAGTTAAAAATAGACCTGCCCTACGACCCAGCAATTGCACTGTTGGGGATTTACCCCAAAGATTCAGATGCAATGAAACGCCGGGACACCAGCACCCCGATGTTTCTAGGAGCCATGTCCACAATAGCCAAACTGTGGAAGGAGCCTCGGTGCCCATCGAAAGATGAATGGATAAAGAAGATGTGGTCTCTGTATACAATGGAATATTCCTCAGCCATTAGAAACGACAAATTTGCTTCAACGTGGATGGAACTGGAGGGTATTATGCTGAGTGAAGTAAGTCAATCGGAGAAGGACAAACAGTGTATGTTCTCATTCATTTGGGGAATATGAATAATAGTGAAAGGGAATATAAGGGAAGGGAGAAGAAATGTGTGGGAAATATCAGAAAGGGACACAGAACATAAAGACTCCTAACTCTGGGAAACGAACTAGGGGTGGTGGAAGGGGAGGAGGGCGGGGGTGGGGGTGAATGGGTGACGGGCACTGAGGGGGGGCACTTGACAGGATGAGCACTGGGTGTTATTCTGTATATTGGTAAATTGAACACCAATAAAAATTAATTTATTTAAAAAAAATAAAAAATAAATGGTATATCTACTTTCACCTTTTATATTTTTAATTTATGTGTCTCTTAGTATTTAAAGTAGGTTCAAGTACATAGCATCTTAAAAAAAAAAGTACATAGCATCTTCTTTTCCAGCCAATCTGAGAATCTCTGCCTGTTCACTGAAGTATTTAGACCTTTTGTAATTAGTGTAAATATCAATATAATTTGACTTCTACTCATTATCTTTGTTCCTTTTTCCCCTTTTTCTGCCTTCTTTAGGATTGAGTAATATTTACTACATTTTACCTCCACTATTGGGTATTAGCTCTCTGCTACTGTCTTTAGAGATAACGGTAAAGTTTACAATTTACATATTTACCTTATCACAGTCTATCTTCAAATACTATTATGCCATTCCATAAATAGTCTAAAACACAAAAGTAAACTTCCATCTTCCTCCCCATGTCTTTTGGTTATTTTTATTATACATTATCTATTTTATATAAATTATCACTGTCATTATTTTGCTTTAAACAGTCACCTGTTAAATGTTTAAAAATGAGAAAGAGGCTTTTATATTTATATTCCACATATTCTCCATTTCTGGTGCTCTTGATTTATTTTGCAGATCTAAATTCCTATCTAGTGTCATTTTCTTTCTGCCTAAAAAACTCCCTTTAACATACCTTTAGTACAGGTCTGCTGGTAATGAATTCGCTCAGCAATTTATTTATTTTATTTTATTTATTTATTTATTTATTTATTTATTTATTTATTTATTTATTGCTGAAAAGTCTTTTCTTCATGGCTTTTGAAAGATACTTTAAAAAATTGTTCCAGTGCTTTCTTGCCTAAATGGTTTCTGATGAAAATTCTGCTCTCATTATTTTTATTCCCCTGAATGAATTTTCTGTCACATCGTAAAATTGTCTCTTGGGGTGCCTGGGTGGCTCGGTTAAGCGTCTGACTTAGGTTCAGGTCATTATCTCATGGTCCTAGAATTGAGCCCACATCAGACTCCACCCTCAGGGAGTCTGCTTGTCCCTCTTCTCTCCCTGCTTGTTCTTGCTCTCTAAATAGAATCTAAAATAAATAAATAAATAAATAAATAAATAAATAAATAAATAAATAAATAAATAAATAAAGTATCTCTTTATCCCTGGATTCTCAGATAATTTAATTATAGGGCTCTTTTCCATTTGTTTTTTCTTCATGTTTCTTCTTATGGTTAAGCTATTTGGGTCTGTGAGCTTACAGTTTTCATCAAATATGGAAAAAATCTGGCCGTTATTTCTTCAAATATTCTTCTATCCACCCCCCTTCTCCTTCTGGGAAGTGACTTAAATATATGTTAGACTGCCTGATATGAAACACAAAATTTATGTTTCCAGTCCTTTTTAATTCATATGTCTTCAAGTTTACTTACCTTTTGCAATGTCTAATCTGTTCCTAATACTATTTTGTGCATATTTTTATTAAGATATTATATTTTTAATGTCTAGAAGCTCAATTTGGACCCTTTTATACCTTCCACCTCTTTTTTATTACACTTTTTAATCTACTACTTGAATATTTAGAGTAGCTTGTCTGCTAATGCTATCACCTGTCTTTCTGATTCTGTTTCCGTTGACTAATGATTCTGACTATGGATTGTACATTCTTCCTTTTTTGCATAACTGGTAATTTTTTACTAAACGATGTTCACTGTTAATTTTTCATTTTTGGTGCTGGATTTTACTGTAGTTCTTTAAATCTTTTTTATATTTATTTATTTGTTTGTTTGTTTATTTATTTATTTATTTTAGAGAGAGAGAAACAGAGAGCACATGCACGAGCAGGGGGAAGGGCAGTGGGAAAGGGAGAGAAGCAGACTCCCTGTTGAGTGTGGAGCCTGATGTGGGGCTCAATCTCATGACCCCGAGATCATGACCTGAGCCCAAATCAAGAGTCAGATGCTTAACCCACTGAGCTACCCAGGCACCCCATAAGATTTTATTTTTAAGTAATCTCTATAGCCCATATGGGTGGGGCTCAAATTCACAATCTCAAGATGAAGAGTCTCATGCTCCACCAACTCAGCCAGCCAGGCACCCCTGTAGTTCTTTAAATCTTAAAGGTTTTGGGGTTTTTCCCCCTCCTTGAATGTGGCGCAGTTACTTGGAATCAGTTTTATCCTGTTAAGTCTTGCTCTTAAGTTTTGTCAGGAAAGGTCCAGAATAGCCTTTAGTCTAAAGCTATTTCTACCCTCTCCACCCCAAAGCCAACCCCACCGAGGTAATATCTTGCTGATGAATCTGTTCAATGCTACATGTATCAAAAGATCTCTTCATTTTGACTGAAACACAAGTTATTTCCAGCCTTGTATAGATTCTGAAGAATTTTTCATCACTTCTTTCTCCTTTCCTGCTATATTTTTCCCCAGCCTTGGACAATTTCCTTTCTGGATTTTGTTCTCTTGCTTTAAGAAGTATTACATTTTATTTTGGCAGGTAATTAAGTTACTTAGGAATCACTTTTACTCTCTCAAATCTTACATTTAAGCTTTGTTAAAGTTGGTATACATTAGCTTTTAACCCATTGCTAATGTAGACCTCCAACTAAGGTGTGACCTTCTGAGGTTTCACATTTAACAAGGTCCTTCCACTCTGGCTGGTTGGACTTCAAATACCTCTGGGCACTTTGTGAATTATTCCACTTATATTATATATTATGTATTAATGTACATTATTATACATTATATTATACAACTCTGTTTTTCCAGTTTTTTTCACTTCATGTGGTACACATGTACCTATGTCCATGTAATTATAAGCTAATAAACCTTTCATTTAAAAAGGCATATCTGGGGATCCCTGGTTGGCGCAGCGGTTTGGCACCTGCCTTTGGCCCAGGGCGCGATCTGGAGACTCCGGATCGAATCCCACGTCGGGCTCCCGGTGCATGGAGCCTACTTCTCCCTCTGCCTATGTCTCTGCCTCTCTCTCTCTCTCTCTCTCTGTGTGTGACTATCATAAAATAAATAAAAAATTTAAAAAAAAGGCATATGTGTATATCTTCAGGTATGCAAGGGAGACAAGAAACTGGGGGAACTATACCTGACCCTAAACTCAATCTTTTGGAGATGGCAATTTCATGGGTTGGATGGTGGCAACCTTCAAGAGGAAATGAAAGCCAGCTGAGTTTGTTGAGACTATTGCAAAAAGAAAGGGAAAAAAAAAAAACATAGAGAGCTGGCCTAGACCTCAAAATGTATCCTTAGGACTAATCAAATGAAAAAAAAAATCCACCTGAGGTCTCTCAGTATCAATTGTAGACAATTTCAAGATGAGTGGCTCTGGGACCTATGGTATAATGATGGGACATCATTCTTCATGGAAAAATAGGAGCTAGAAGCACAGCCTTGATCTCATTATAATAAATTTAACAAAAAACCTGAGATCCCATATGCAAACAGTTGATGCTTTTTTTTTTTTTTTTCAGTTTAATGCTTTGCAGATTAACCACAGACTAAGAACTTTCTTTGGCATTTCCTCCCCAAATGCACAATCTACTGGGCTCCTTTTCTTAACCAATATAATTACCGCAGAACGTTATCAAAAGATATCAAGCCAGGAACTGGCTTAGGGTATTCAAGTGAGAGGATTCAGCTAAGTGGCAACCCAAATACAAACAAAGGACACCAGCCTAGGATACACTAAGTATTTAGAACAGGACCTTCATGACTGATAATCAAGGTAGATTAACCTTCATCTTCAGTTATTGATATTAATGATCCACTGTGAGCAAGGTGATCAATAGAGTGCATTCTAATTGTGAAATATTATTCTGTCTTATCAAACATAACTGATGGCTTATCACTACATGTGTTCCAGATGACACTGTGTCTTCTCCTACTAAAAATAAATATTTCAACTGCTGTCATCATCCAAAGGTGCCACCACTTTTATTTGTTTTACCAGATCATAAGATGATACTGGCCCATTACCCTTGACCTAGTCAAACCTCTACAAAAGACTTAATGATGCTATTTAGGATGCATTTCCTTGCTGCTTTGCGCAGGTGGCTTTCGCACTGTTGCATAGACAGTAATAGGAACATCAGTTATTGTCAGGCAATGACTTCCAGGGCATCTTCGGAGTTGCCTGAATAAAAGAGCAAATGATATGTGGTTAGATACTAAAAAAGGAGATTTTTTTCAGGGCAGCAAAGTTTGAGTACATATCAAGTGTTTTAAATCATTTTGAAATCTCTGAATGTCACAATAGAATTATAACACAGTGGCACTGATGAGCCAGACATTTTAGACTCGGGTTACAAAAAGATTGTGGTTGTTGCCATACATTTAGTCACAGGAAGTTCATAAAGATAAAATAACTCTAGACGATAATCTGAAAGGTATGCAGTGATTGCTAAAGGGCAAAAAAAAAAAAGCGGAGATGGGTGGTGGGGAGTGCATAGTTGTAAACAGTGATAATACTATGGCAATTTATGCACACATGTACCTTAAAATCACTTCAATTGAGTGATTTAAAAACTAGAGTATTTGTGGAAAAATATAAAACTGAACATACTATTTAATATACTATTCAAATGTTGACTGAACCTCAGGTTAAAAGAATCCTTAAATGACATCTAGTCTAAAAATACATCCCGTGCTTGAATTTCTGTTCCAACATTCCCACCAGATAATCACCTCAGACATTTTTAAAGACAAGGGCTTAGTACTTTCCAAAATAGCCTACTGCATCCTTGAATAACTCTGATTTTTAAAGTGTAACTGCCTTATTAGGTTCAAATCTGTGTTGTGTTCTAAAAATTTCCAAGCCGTGAAAAAAATCTAACAACGTAGTATTTGATGTTTTGCAATGGTAAACAGCAGAAAAGTGGAAGAAATCCTATTCACTATAGTTTTCTTCAATTTGCAGAAATGATTTTGTTTTATAAAACATTCACACTTTGTATCACCATCTTTCGGCTAAAATTCAAATCAAAGCCAAAGTGATACTAAATCTGAGGTTGGGGTCTTCTCATTTGTAGATGTCTGCGTAACATATAATAGCACTAACAATTTACTTGTTTAAATTAATGTTATCTTCTTGTAACTATCAACAACAATCTAGCTATAAATTTACCAAAAAAAGAACTGGTCTATTATTGGACTTACAGAGGTGCCAAAAACAAACTGTGCTAAGAAACCCTGAAATCTGTTAATACTGACTTCATAATAGCAGTGTTTGCTAATATAAATTTAATGGTCCTGGACTTTTTTCTTGTTAATATTGGACATCAACTAAAGCTTATGTTGGTAACAGTCATGACGCATTTCCTTAGGGGCATCAGGATGAGAAGACCTTACCTGGTTGGTGACATCTCTTTCCCATTACAGGCAGCACTGGAGCTCAGCCCAGATTCTAGCCCAATTGAAGAATCTCCTCCTTCCACTGGAAACCTCCTTGGCTGGGTCCCAAACCGAAAAGGCATAATTCACCGAAAACCTAGATAGAAAGTTAAAATAATGGCGTGGGGCTAAGCTGTCTTTAAAAAGTTCATTGGAGTCTTTAGTGTTATTGTTTTCTCATAGGTATATAGAAATGACATTTTAAAATATCTATACCAGTATGTAAATGCTATATTACACACAACTCCCCCTTACACACAATTTGAAGTCTAGCGACAAATATAAAACAGCCATTAGACGGCAGAAGTAAACTGTGCCCTATAGTTAACATTACTGAAATCTATTTCTGCTGTGTGGGGGGAAAAAAACCAGTTTATTTGAAATGGGTGTTAAAATCGGTAAGCTTGAGCCCCTACTTCCACTCCCCATTGCCTCTCTGCCAAGCCCTTCTCTTCCTTTGAAGCATAGCCAAGCCTCACATCTTCCAGGGATGATCATTCATTTCCCCACCTCTCTCTATTCACAGCTTATTAGTTAAGAAAGTGCCTTGGGAAAGTTGGACTGACCAAATAATCCTAAACAAGGTACTTAACCGGGAATGTTTCTCAAGGATAAATCAGGAATAAGAGTATCTCCTTCCAGGGTAATAGTGAGGATTAAATAAGGTGATACACGTAAAATGCAGTGCCTAACACATAGTTATGCTCAATCAATGTTAACTATTATTACCTAGCAGATGCTACTGGGCATTAGTAAATATATGTACACAAACACGCACATAATGTACATGTGAGATAGCCGGTAAGTATGATGCACGTACACAAACACACAATTTTTAAAATAAGCTCTTTATGGCCTCCTATTGCCTCTACTTGGAATTCTTCCCCACCCCACTGCTCCCCACCACTTACTTGCTGGGACTAACTCATTAAGTCAGAATTTACATTTCACTTTCTCAGAGAAGCCTTCCATAACCACTCAGTTACATAAGGTTTCATGGAACTCTCTGTTTCTGATTGTAACAGTTATTACTCTAATTCAGGATTTCTCAGCTGTGACACCATGCACATTTGGAGCCAGATAGTTTTTTGTTGGGGAGAGAAGAAGTTGGCCTGTGCTTTGTCGGATATTTTGCATCATCAAGGCCTCCACCTACTATATGCTAATAGCTCTCCACCCCAAAGTCGTGACAATCAAAAATGTCTCCAGACATTGCCAAATGTTCCCTGGTGGAAAAGGGGAAGAAATCACCCCCTGTTGAGAACCACTGCTGTAATTTTACATAAATGTTTCTGCTTAATCATTGCCCCCACCTCCCCCATTTCATGCCTGTCTTTGTCACCACTGACTGAATCCTTAATACCTAGAACAGTGGCTGGCACACAGTAATTAATAACTATTTTGTATAAATTTACATGTGTTCAACAAAAGAAAGGAAAAATGAAATAGGTCTTATAACTGTTTTTTTATGCCTAGAACAGTATTCCATGCCTAATAAGTAAGTGTTTATTGCAGTAATAAAACTGAATTATTAAAGTTTAGGAATCTGAATATCATATATAATGGTTTTTATAGACTATGTGTTTCCTTTATCAAGGAAAAAAGTGGCTTGCTCAATGACAAGTTAGTTAAAACTACCGTAAAATCTATGGTTTAATATAACTATCTAATTTATAGAAGTATTAAGTTTTGGCTAATTTGACCAAGGATATGTAAACTTACCAAAATAGGCTGAGTCTGATTCCTGTAGAGGTGAATAAATCAACTGCTTCTACTGACCTTCCATAGAAGGCTGGAGTTGCCAACGTAATGATCATCAAATGTTCCAGTGACACCCAGAAATTATTACATCAGAAGATTCTTTCACATAGTTTCCTACCTGCTAAAGAATAAAATGTCACAATTCATAGCTCCAGCAGCAAGCTGAACCTCAGCAAAAAATTGTCTCTAAAGGTTGACATTGTCACTGCCTTATTCTCCAATGATATAAAATTAATTATTCTCCAATGATATGAAATATTTTAATCTATGAATGAATGTATTTATATTCTAAAGCTACAGTCTTATCTGTACAAAATCACAAGATTCTTTCCACTTTATACCCCATTTTCCTCATTATCTTTATCTTCCAGTTTTTCCCTTAACTATTAATACAAACTAATCCAGTCTAACTATGTCCTCATCCCACACCAAAGGCCTCAAACTGCACCTTTACAGATTTCTCTATGGCTCTTCCTATGTGAGATTCTTTACATCTGATGCCTGGACTACCACTTCTATTTCCTCAAGAACCTTGAAATCCCCAAATGACAGAAATAAGGACAATTGAGAAAATAAGAATACATCTTGTACTGTCTCTGTTCTGTTTCCTGGACCCTGAGGCTCTCCTCTGTTTGTACCATCTTTGCCAAAGGAATGATGATCAAGTGTCCCAGCGACACCCTGAAATTATGACATCAGAACTCTTTCACACAGGTTCCTATCTGCTCAAGAATAAAGTGTCTCAATTCACAGCCCCAGCAACAAGATGAAACTTCTCTTCTGAACTGCCCTCTCCCAACTTCTGTAGCATGAACTTACCTTACTGAATGTAACACTAAAGTATAACCCTTAAGCCAGAACATTGCTCTTCAGCTAATCTTTTCTCAATTTTCTTTTTTTTCCCTTGCCATCGTCAATTTCTTTTCAATTTTCATAGTTGATGACAAACTATCACATGACATTAAGCATTTTTTCATTTAATGGAAACCTTTTTTACTACCCACATTTTCTGCTAAGTTCCCACTATTTCGTTTTCATATGATTTACAGCATAGAAAATTGACATTCTACGTAATTAAGTTGATGTCAGACAAAATCTTACCTCTACTTTTTCTTACTAGGGAGCTATGTGTGAATAGTTGATCACAATTTTAGCCTAGAGAAACCATTTAACTGACTGTGTCATAGTCAGACAAACTGAAATACTTGCTAGCCATTGTTAGCTAATGTATCATTAGGACCTAAACATTTGATCCTTAGGATGGCAAAAACTTTTAATAGTTTACATTTTCTAGTGGAGGTCGCAGTGGGAAAATGATGGGTTTTGACATGAGAATTAGGTTTGAATTGTAACACCATGATAACTCTGAGGCTTTGAGCAAATAGCTAAAAGTTTGCCTGAAAAAAAATGGTATGAATTTCTACACCATAGAGTTGTTTTGAGGAATCAAAAAATCTAACATGTAATAAAGCTGATGTCTGAGATACAAAAATTCCATCAGCGCACATTCTCTTTGTGCATAATTCTTTTTTTTCTTTGTGCATAATTCTTGAAATCAGTGTGTTGAAGCATTGATTTCACTTTTTAATCATTGATATATTTTTTTTAAGATTTTATTTATTTATTCATGAGAGACACAGAGAGAGAGAGCCAGAGAAACAGCAGAGGGAGAAGCAGGCTCCCTGCAGGGAGCCCAATGTGGACTCGATCCCGGGATCCGGGATCATGGCCTGGGCGAAAGGCAGACGCTCAACCACTGAGCCACCCAGGCATCCCTAATCATTGATATATTTTTAAACTACAAAATGAAGTATCTGCATGTGAAATATTCATAAATTCCTCAAACGTGCTATTATTTTTAACTAGTTATTTGGCACCAATACTCACTCTCAATCCTCATAAACCTCAGAGTAATGATAATCTTTCAATCCTCAGACTATTGGTTCATGAGATGCGGAAAAGGAATAATGCTTGAACTTGTCATATCTTAAGAAAAATGATCTATTACTAGGAATAATTCATTCACACAACAAATACTTGCTGAGAATCCACCATCAGCCAGGCATATGTTAAGTGCTGAAGATAAAATATTGAGCAAAGCACACACAGTGTCTATTCTAGTAGAGTTTACAGGTTAGGGTAGTGTATATGCTAGACTAGGGTATCAAACCTAAGACTAACTAATTAGATCCTAAGTCTAGACATTAACTAGGTGAAAATAGGTGGGAAGTAAAAACACTGAGACCGTTGAGGATGGGGCAAACAGAGGAAACAGCAGGTGCAAACATCATTTGCCAGTAGAGAAGACAACAGAAAATATGAAAGGCCAGCATAGCTATAGCAGAGAAAATAAAAAAGAAATAAGGTCAGAGGAATAAGTAGAGGCTAACCCAAGCAGGAACATGAATGCAAGTTAAAGATTTGAACTTATGAGCAAAGGAGCTCACAAAAGAATTTTAATCTTTCAGGAAACGTTAGGTTTCATTGATTTTTCTCTGTTAACTTTGTTTTCTGTTTGATTTCTTCTCCAACCTTTAGTATCTCCTTTTTCTGTTTACTTTGCGTTTAATTTGCTTTTCTCTTCCTAATATCTTTAAACGGAGGCCTAGATCATTGATTTGAGACTTCCCTTCTTGATATAAATATTTAATTCTATAAATTTCCATCAAAGCACAACTTTAGATTCATCCCACAAACTTTGAAATGCTGTATTTTCACTACCTTCAGGTAAAAATTTCCCTCTTGGTTACTTCTTTGACCTATGAGTTATTCAAGACTGTTATTTAGGACTATTTTGTTTTCAAATATCTGGAAATGTTCTAGCCAGTTCTCTTTTACTGATTTCTTAAGATTCAGTTTTTGGCAGAGACCATTCTTTGTACGAGTATAATCCTTTCATATTTATTGAGATGTGTCTTGATAAGTGTTCCTTCTACTCTTGAAAAGAGTATGGATTCAGCTGTTATTGAGTGAGGTCTTCTATCATTGGAATTACTTGGCTGAGAGAGTCGTTCAAGTCTTCTGCATTCTTCGTGATTTTCTGTATTCTTCTTCATCGATTATTGAAATAAGGATGTTGAAACCTCCAAGTATAATCATGAACGTATCTATCTCTCCTTTCTGTTTTACCAGTTTTTGCTTCATATATTTTGAAGCTCTGATATTAGGTACATTTTAAATACCCAGGAGGCTTATGTCCTCCTGATGAATTAACAACTTTATTCTTAAAAACTCTCCTTTTTTTTATCTCTAGTAATATCCTATGCTCTGAAATCTACTTTGTCTGAAATCTATATAGTTACCTTCTATTCATTAATGTTAGTATAATGTGGCTTTTTTTCCCGTTTTTTTACTTTTAACCTATTTGGTCTTTATATTTAAGGTGGTTTTCTTATAAAGAGTATATAGTTGAAGCTTGCTTTTTCTCATCTACTCTGATGATCTCTGAATTTAATTAGCATGTTTCAATCGTCTCCATTTCATGCGATAGATATAACTATCTATCGCATTTCATGAATTTGTGTGTCCTCTTGCTATTTGTATTCTATTTGTGCTATCTGTTCTTTGTTCCTTTTTGGTCTGTTCTTTGGAAACAATTGAGTATATTTTATGAATATAAAATCTATTATCTTAGGGTTTATAAGTACACATTTTTAACCTGTTTGCCTTAAATAACATTACGCCGTTTCGCCTACACTAAAAGAACCCTACATTAAAAGAAACTCGCGCTAAAAGAACCATTCCCCCTCCCACCCTGTAGTATTTTGTCATGTTTAACTTCTACATATAAGTCTCACAACACATGATAAGTTTCTCTTCAAGCAACTGTTTTTAAAGAACTTTTTTTAAAAAGTGAAATCTTTTATATTTACCCACATATTTGTCACTTTCAGTGTTCTTGATCCCCTTCAGTAGGTCCAGATTTCCCTCCAACAGCATTTTCCTTTTATCTGAATGAAGATTTTCATTTAACAGCTCTGTCTACGAGCAATAAATTCATCCCATTTCAGTATGTTTTTACTCCACCTCCATTTTTGAACAGTATTTTTGCTGAGTACAAAATCCTAAATCAACAGCTTTGTTTTGTGGGGCTTAAAGATTTTTGCTCCACTTTTCTGACTTGCATTGTTTTCTAAGTCTGCTTTTATTCTTTGTTCCTCTACATACAGTGTGTCTTTTTTTTTTTTCTTCTGGGTGATTTTAATTTTTTTCCTAGGCACTGGTATTGGTTATAATGTGCTTGGTGCAATTTTACTCCTGTTTCCTGTGTCTAAAGTTTCATTGAGCATCTTGGGTCTGTAGGCTCATAGTTTTTATCACATGTGAAAACCTTTCAGATATTCTCTCTCCAAGTATGTTTTTGTTTCCTCCTTCTGGAACTCCAGTTATTGTATATAAAGCTATTTGAAGCCATCCCACAGCTCACCAATCCTTTTTTTATTCTGTTTTGGTTCTATTTTAGATAGTTTCTACCGTTAAATCTTTAAGTTCATTACTCTTTTCATTTGTAAGGTCTAATCTGCTCTTAATTCCATCCAGTGTATTTTTCATCTTAGACACTGCATTTTTTTAAATCTCCAATGTTTGATTTGGGTCTTTTATATTTGTCTCTTCTTAATATTTTCATGCTTCCTTCTGCCTTCTTGAATATATGGAGCATGTTTATGTTATTTTAATGTCCTCATCTTCTAATTCTTTCATTTGTGTCATTCCTTGCTTTGTTTTTACTGATTCTTTTTAACCTCATGTGGAGTGTTTCCTACATCTTCGCCAATCTTGCAATTTTTCACTTGACTTGGGACATTGTGGATTTTATGTTGTTGAATGCTAGATTTTATTCTTAGTCTTCTAAACCCTTAAAAGTTTTGATCTGGGACACAGTTATTTGGAAATAGCTTGGCCCTGTGAAGACTAGATGAGGAGAGCCTTTTATCTATGGCTAATTTCTCTCCACCACTGAGGCAATACCCTTACTGTACTCAACACCCCCAGATATTACAGGGCTCTTCCACTAAAGATACTGGGAATATAAGCTAGTCCCAGCCTGTGTGAACCCCCCTAAATTGTTATGTGTGCTTCGTCCCAGTGGTCATTCCTCAGTCTCGGGTAGTTTCCCCATATGCATATATTGCCACTCAGTAAGGCTCAGAGAAATTCCCTGAAGATCTCCAGAGCTTTCTCTATACTCACTCCTCTCTCTGGCACTCTGCTCTGAAGATCCTAGCTGTCTTGGTCCCCCAGAACTTTCAGTTCTGTCTCTCCAACTCAGGATGGCAGTCAGGCTGTGTGTGAGCTGTGTTCACCAGAAAGAAGTTACCGGGTCTCATCCATACTCAAGGAGAGAGAATGCTGTATTCTGATACCATGCCTGAGAATGCTTATAATGTACTTAATAAATGCTGTTCATCAAATATTTCTGGCTTTCTGCCTTCTAGAAATTGCAATTCCTGGCCCATGTGACTAGTTTTAGCCAGTGAGTTAACAAAAGTCATCAACTACAGTGCAAGTTCCTCTTGAGTTGTCTTTCCCTCTGTCACAAAAGCCAAGAATGTACCAAATAGTGGTAGTTCAGCAACCTGGGTGCCAGAGTGAGGTAAACGTAAAGCACAACTGCCGATACCTCCCAAAAGACATGGATCGTATGCAAAAATATAAACTTTTACTGCTTTACATCACTGAAATTCAGGGGTTAGTTGTTACACAACTTAGTAAAATTTATCATGACTTATACAGACTTGGGTCTAGACTTGAGCACTGCCATTACAAAAATCTAAAATATAAGTCACTAGCATAGTGATGAGGCAGCAGGTAACAAGGAAACTGTTACCGGAAGCTGGAAGGATAATTATTTATGTGGTTAGTGGCAAATATACTGGGAAAACTCTTTGCAAAACTCTTGGGATAACCTAGAAGACAGATGATTCGCTAATGAACTTGAATTCTAGGGGAAGAGGTTAGAAGACAATTTTGGCAACACGTTGGTTGCTATGGTTGTGTTTGTCAAGTTACATGAAAGAGAGATGGGCTCAGAAATGCAGTGTGCCAACAGGAACAAAAATGGATAGAGCCCCCACAATTTCTAATTATACTCAAGTGACAACTTGGGAAGTCAAAGGAGTATCATTTTCTTGGAACACATTTTATTCTCCCTCAGAACTCTAATATATTTTCAATGTCTTCCAGTACTGGCTGTGCTATGGATGAGTCTAACAAACCCTAATTGTTTTTTCTCCGCCATTTCCCCAGCCCGCTGCTGCCGCCTTTGTTTCTTGCCTGGGTACCCACAGAATTCTTTTATTCTGAAAATCGAGTGACTTAACCAGGATATATCCTAGTGTTGACTGTCCTACAGAAATCTTTCCAGGGAACATGGTAGATCCCTTTCTTTTTTTAATTGAAGTATAATTAACATACAATGTTGTATTAGTTTCAGATGTACAATATGATCCAACATTCTCTGCATTACTCAGTATTCATCATGATAAGCATTCTCTTCTTAACATGCTTCCTATAATTCTTAATCTTGTATCCTTTTCATCGAGAGATTTTTTTCTTTCCTTGGTATTTTTTAATACCAGTAGGGACATTTCTTCTTCCATTTGCTCTGTTCTCTATTTCAGGGGCACTTATTAATCTCCTGTCGAACCATCTTTGTCTCTTTCATCTATATTCTCTTCTAAGAGCTTTAATACCTCTAGTCGTTGCCTCGGTATTCTCTATGATTACCTCGAGCCTCTCATCCACATCAGTAACTTGATTTTCAGCTCTCTAGTCTGTCTCTTCGAGCTTCTAATTCTTCATTTCTAAAACCAATTCTTCTACTTACACCTATAGCACAAAAGGTAAGTTCTATTTTTGTTCACTGTGTTTGTATCAGAGGAGGTATATCACAACCCCACTAGAGCTTTGTATAACCCTCCGGGATGGCCTGGGTTCTCCCTAGTTTTCTGAGTTTTCGAAAGGTCTTAACTGAGGTCTCAGTGCATCTAATTAGGAGTTTATTCAGCTCCAGCAAATGCTCAAATATAGGACTGCAATGTGGACTCCTGGAAAATATAAACTCTAAAGCGTTTTTTCTGCTTCTACTGGGGTCTTAGAATGGCTGGCTCTGCCTGGGTCATGAAGCACAATTGTCCCTTGGTCTGCTTCTCTCCAGTCTGAAGCTATTAATGAGACTTGATAGGACTTTTTCAATTTAACCTGTCCCCGTGTACGACCTGTGTGGAATAATGCCTTGCATGCACCTAAGCACTGAATGGGAGAGAGAGCTCTGCAGAGGCCAGAACACCAGATGAGCCGACACCCTGACTCGCTGGCGCAGACCTACTAACACCACTGTCTATACACTGGATCAAACATGGCAAGTTTTGGAAGCCCCAGGCTTTGGGACTTCAGCATCAACACCTGAAGTGAAGTGTTGGGGGTTTCAGACTACACACTTCCACCACTGACCCCATGCTCACTAATAAGCACTTGTAAAATCTCGCAGCTCCAAAGCATTGCTGATTAAAAGTTGCCCATTGATCACAAGAGAGAGAAGAACTAAAGTTAAAAACATCCAAATGGAGGACCCCTGGGGGGGCTCAGTGGTTGTGCACCTGCCTTAGGCCCAGGGCGTGACCCCGGGGTCCCGGGATCGAGTCCCACGTCGGGCTCCCTGCGTGGAGCCTGCTTCTCCCTCGGCCTGTGTCTCTGCCTCTCTCTCTGTGTGTCTCATGAATAAACAAAATCTTAAAAAAATAAAAATCCAAATGGAAACGTGGGGAACCCTATAAGCACCATAAACCACCCATTGCAACTGCAAACTTTACCACTGAGCGAAGAAGTGCAGTGACAACTACTACGGGCAGAGGAATAAGGTGCTTCTGATCAATCTGATCAATCCGATAACATAGTTACCATCATTGCACACTAATTGCGCACGTAGTTTGACTTTTCCTGGTTTTAATGCAGGTGGCTTCCCGGGGCCTCAGTTGGGGCCTCAGAATTTTGTGGAGATCATTAATTTCAGCAAAGAAGGGCTGGGGTTCTTAACTGAAATCTGCTCTTCGCTGATCGATTAAGGAGTTCAGAGAATTTTTCGACCGCTTGACCATTTGAGGTTGCTCGGTAACTTTCAGGAGCGTCTGAAATATATATATTATATTTATTTATATTATATATATGTTTATATATATTTATATATGTAAATATATGTGTATGTATATATTATGTATGTATGTGCTTATATATTTTATATATGCATATATTTCTATGTTTATATTTATATACGTAAATATATGTATATGTATATTTTTATATATTTTATATACGTATGTATATTTATATATTTTTATATATTTGTTATTTACATTTATTTATATTTATATATTACATATTATACATATTTATATTTTTATATATTTATATTATTAAATTTATTCATATATTATATATTTATATATTTATGTATTTATGTATTATATATTTTATTTATTTTTATTTATATATTATATATCATATATTTATGTATTATATATTTTTATATTTTTATATTATATATATATATATATATATATATATATGTCCCAACGCCACCCTTTGCTGCTCCAAGACGCGGCCTGTCGGCTGCTCGCCCCAAGCACAGCGTCCCGAGGACTCTCCTTAAACGGCACCAGCCCCAGCGCTCAGGATGCTCGGACTCTGAACACGAACCAAGCCTCCGACAGCCCGTACGCGCTTTTAAAGACACTCGGCTGAGAGACCCCACCCCACAGCCTCGTTACCCGCCAGTTACCGCGGCCTTCGGAGCTTGCCGAAGCTCGAAGATGTTGGCCGAAGCCGCGGGTCCCACGGGGCGGAGGACGCGTCGCTATGGGAACGGCGGGACGCGACTGCCCCTGCGCGGCCTTCTCGACGGGGGGCGACGGTAGTGACTTGCGGCAGCAGCGTGACTTACGGCTGCCGCGCTCCCGCGGGCGCGCCGCTCGTGGGCGGGGCCGGGCCTGGAGGACGGAAGTGACGCGGACGGCGCTGCGCCGCAGCATGACCCAGTCGGTGGTGGTGCAGGGTAAGCGGCGCCGGTGAGGGCGGGGGCGGGGATGGGGGGCGCCGGGTCGCCGCGCAGCCCCTTGCGGGCCGCCTCATGGCCGCTCTGTCTCCCTCCTCTCGCTGATCGCAGTCGGCCAGTGCGGAAACCAGATCGGGTGCTGCTTCTGGGACCTGGCGCTGAGGGAGCACGCCGCGGTCAACCAGGTACCGGCGCCGCCCCCGCCCCACCCCCCACCCCCACCCCCACCCCCCGTCCCCGCCCGCCCCCGGCCCGCTTCTTCTGCGCCGTCCCCGGGCTTAGGGCCGTAGCTGGTTACGGCGTCGGTGTTGCCATCGCAGCCAGGGACCAGCCATCCGGGTTTGGGAGGTGGTTAAAGCGTCCGCGCCAGGGGCAAAGCCTTAACCCGGTGTTGTGATGTCTGTATGCCTTTTTTTTTTTTTTTTTTTTTTAGCAGGGAATTTATGATGAGGCAATAAGCAGCTTCTTTCGAAATGTGGATACCAGGTAAGATGGGGTGAAAGTCTCGTCACGTAGCATTAGGATTCTCTCGGGGGGCTCACTGAGCACCTGCCTGCGGCCCAGGGCGTGACCCCGGGGTCCCGGGACGGATCGAGTCCCGCGTCGGGCTCCCTGCGTGGAGCCTGCTCCTCCCTCTGCCTGTGTCTCTGCCTCTCTCTCTCTCTCTCTCTCTGTGGCTCTCATGAATAAATAAATAAAAACCTTTAAAAATAAATAAATAAGTTGACTCCGTAACCACATTCTCCTCTACTCCGTTTTATGATTTAACCTGAGAGCATTCTTATTTCCCCATTCCCAAGTTTCTCCAAAAAGGGGAGATGAGTCCTGGCATTTGACTCTTGCCATGTACTAGCAACACCTACTGGCATCTGTTCCAGGGAAAAAAAAAAAAAAAAAAAAAGACTTTCAGAAACAAGATCCCCTGTTTACACTCCTTGTATACACTCCTGTATCTATTTGAGGAAACCTTTTTACCTTTACCTTTTTAATAGCATACTAGGAATTTACCTATGCTGGGGGTTAACAGACCTTTACTGCAAAGGACCAGAGATAAATATTCCAGGTTTTTGTCACATCTCGTGGACTCTGCTGTCGTAACAGGAATGCGGGTCTAGCTTACTAGTACGTAAGCAAGTGGGCATGGCTGTGTTTGAATAAAACTTAATTTAGGAAAATAAGCAGTTGGTCAGAGTCGGCCCAAGGATCATAGTTTACCAACCCAGCCCATAGCATCATCTGTGCTCAGTTCAGCTTCCTTTCATATAGTCTGTTTTCTTGCAAACTATATTGACCCCAATTCTGTGTTTGGTCACAGACGTAGTTACTTTAGTTCAACATGAAATTCTAGGAACAGCCTTAGATACTCAACAGTAATATAACTGATATATCAGTTGATGTATGTTCAGCTACAGAAAACCTCATTAATGGTGACTTAAGCAATAGAAGTATCCAGTTATCTCATACAAAGAAACCTGGGAATGGGATGACCTAGGCTTGGAGAAGTGTCTTCAAAGACCAAGATACTGTCGTTTCATTATTCCTATTGTGTTGGTTTCTTGTCCTCCTGTTTATTCTTTCCAACCTATAAAGTGGCAGCCTCCACTCCATGCATCACATTTTTATTCATATTCAAGGTGGGGAAAAGGAAGAGTTGGCACCAAGTGCATCCGAATCTCTTTATTATCAGAAAAGCCTCCCAGAATACCTCCCTTTTTATCTCATTAGTAAGAACTGGATCACATGGCCAGCCCTGACTACAAAGACAGCCAGGGGAAAAAGTACCCCACTTTTCAGCCTAATGGGAGGGTGGGCAGGAGAAGAATAGGAAAGGCACCTTCTATGTTGCCCTCTCCCCTATGTTGGCTGCCTCACCAGGCCTGTAAATAGCTTTATTATATAAATGGGAGTTAGCTTTATTACCTAACAGCAGTATTAGCCTCGGAAGATCTTACAACCTTTTCCCATTTTTTTTATCTTTCAGAGTGGTTGGTGATGGTGGCAGTATTTCCAAGGGGAAAATTTGTTCTCTGAAAGCACGAGTAAGATCTTTATACTTGCATTCTTAACGCTGCATGTGTTTTTAAAATAACTACACTCCTGGGATCCCTGGGTGGCGCAGCGGTTTGGCGCCTGCCTTTGGCCCAGGGCGCGATCCTGGAGACCCGGGATCGAATCCCACGTCGGGCTCCCGGTGCATGGAGCCTGCTTCTCCCTCTGCCTATGTCTCTGCCTCTCTCTCTCTCTCTCTGTGTGTGTGATTATCATGAATAAATTTAAAAAAAAAAAATTTTTTTTAAATAACTACACTGGGATCCCTGGGTGGTGCAGCGGTTTGGCACCTGCCTTTGGCCCAGGGCGCGATCCTGGAGACCCAGGATCGAATCCCACATCGGGCTCCCGGTGCATGGAGCCTGCTTCTTCCTCTGCCTGTGTCTCTGCCTCTCTCTCTCCATCTCTCTCTGTGACTATCATAAATAAATAAAAATTTAAAAAAAACAATAAAAAAATAAAAAAATACACTCCTGTAACTATCATGAGAATAAAACTTTAACTTCTCAAATTAAAAATAAAAAAGTATTTACTAAGCCACACTTTAGTATAAATGTAATTAAACAGACATTTATGTCTATCAGAAACTTCAGGGGGGAAAAGTGTTCAAAGTAAAAACACACCGTGTATTTAGTATTTTTTGGTAACTGTTTCAGAGGAGATCCACATCTAGGTAAATGATAACAAAGGCTTAACTCTAAGCCTGAAACACATACTAATGCAGGTTAATTTTTCATTTGAAGATAACGGAGGGTTTCTTTGCATCAGAGTTATACTATCCCCAGTACAAACCACAGATCCAGCCGTGTTACAGCGAATACCATCGTAGTGTAAGGCCTCGCGAACAAAAATGCTTCGAGTCAGTAGCCCGTATTTCGTCTTAATCTCATTCCAGTAAGACTCCTGCTATTGTTTCTCTACAGCAAACTGCTTTTTCCAGTTTGTTGATCAATAATCATTGTAACAAAAAAGAAAGGCGGTTTAGGTGGAAGGAATTGAGACAGTAAGGATCAGACCTAGGGTCGCGGCTGGAAGAGTGAAGAGCAGTCGTGTTGTACCCAAGCACTGTCTTCCTGTATCTGTAATCTCCAATGTCCTTGGAAAAACAAAATTTAGTCGCAGAGGCCATATGCTTGTAGGCTGTTAAGACGATTAACCCGTGGTGCCCTGCACACTGGAGAGCACTAACATCCCAATCCAGATCTCACAGAAAAAGTAACTGGGTTTCCTAGAGCACTCCCAACTCGAGCTCTTTCCTGCCTCCCCATCAGTGAGCGAGGTAGGAGGTGGAGGGCACGCTATAGGCAAAGGATAAATCAGTGTGTTTCTGTAACCTTTGACTTGTCCTAGGAGGTGCTCTTCTATTTCCCCTCTGGAGTCTTAGTAGTATGTGGCTGTGATCACTGGAGAGTCCAGGCTTCACGAGAAGATTTAGTGGTTAGGTCCTTCCTCTGTGTCCAGTATCGTAGGTCAATGTGCAAACACTCAAAGAGTTTTGTAAATCCTATATTAGACCTAAGGAAGAGCTCAGAGGCCAGAGAGCCATCACCAGGCTGCTCTGGCAGAAAACGATAAACCTCAGATCCTGAAAGCTGTGACTCCAGACCGTGGAGTCTTAAGTCTGTTTTGAAACAAGGCCATTATAAGCTAATACTTGTTTCTTTCTGTGATCTTACTCAACTTGTAGTATACCACATGCTACTAGGCTCTCTTATGGCCGATTAAGTGTTTCAGTCAACACCTAAGGGAAAAATTATCATAAAATATCCTAGAAAATCCCTCAAGTGCCAGCAAGTAACCCTCTAGTCCAGTGTACGTAAAGTATACGTCTATTGCATGCTGCCTGTAAAAGAGCACGTTTATAATACATAATTATATCGTCTTCGAACATCCTACTGTGATGTACTGTTGTACAGTTAGAAACACAGTATTTCTTTTTTTTTCTTTTTAGAAACGCAGTATTTCTGATCCGCTGTGTGTAACACTTTTAATCGCTTGCTTGCAGTAGCATAGCTAATTAACTACACAAATCATTTTTTTTAAAGATTTTATTTATTTATTCATGAGAGACACAGAGAAAGGCAGAGATACAGGCAGAGGGAGAAGCAGGCTCCATGCAGGGAGCCCGGACATGGGACTTGATCCTGGGTCTCCAGGATCACACCCTGGGCCGAAGGCGGCGCTAAACCACTGGGCCACCCGGGCTGCCCTACATAAACCATTTAATTCACAGAGTTTAAATGGGCATACGTTGCAACCCCTCGGTAGTTAGTACCCCCATAAATCTCGAACTTGACTGTGTCTTTTCAGTAGGTAGGAGAGCATAGACAAGATTCTGCAGCCAGGCTAACCAGTGTGACTCTCAGCTCCACCACTTACAAGCTGGGTGATCACAGCCGAGTGATTTAGCTCTCCTAGGCCTCAGTTGTCTCGTGTAAAGCAGGACAGGTAAGTATAGTAAGCATATATAGGGTTGTGAGGACCAAAGGGGGTAATACCTGTAAAGCACGTAGGACAGCCACAGGTAGCATTTAATGTTACAGGGTGGCAAGAACTAGAAAAGCCTGTAAACCAAGCACTTTCTTTGGGACCCTGAATCGAATAGCTAATAGCTTTGTGGTGTACTCTAAGGTTATTTCATTAGTTTTTTTGGCTTTTTTACTTAACTATTTCACTTTTACTCCTCTTCCTCAGTATAGAACACACAAGAAGTACGAAACAGTGGGGGCAGGGAGTATTTAATCCTACTGCCAAGCTATCCCTGCCTGCTTTTTGCTGTGTTTCCCTCCAATCTTTTCTATTTTTCTTTCCATAGTTAATTTTACGTTTTATATTATCATTTTCTTCTT